AAAATAAAGACAGACATTTTTATTGTATGAATAAGAATATATAAAACAAATGATTTTGTGTGAAATGTCTTGAAAAGGTATTAAGATATGGGAAATAGAACACATTTAGAAATTCTTAATGAGAAATTACATNATAGTGATCATCTATATAGTATCNNGATATTATACATGGCATGTACCCTGGGTATTTTAAAAACCCTGTACCCCNCCTATGTATAGTATCCACCCATATATTGTACNCCCGGGTACAGGCCAAAACCCCCAAAATTTGCAAGATACCCGGGGTACTATGGCCCGCAATATACGGTAATCAGAATTATATAATATAAATAATATATATTAGATATTTGATATACTAGTGATGATCTTTAAATGAGACAGTATATACAGTCAACTTAATTTATCTGAAACATCTGTTAGAGCAATCAGAGACTGATCTTAGTAAGGTAGAGAAATAGAGGTATTTCTGTAATTTTTTTTTTTTGTATATTTTAGTTATAGTTCTTTTAGATAATCCTTTTTTTTGGTGGTTAATACTAATAGTCAGTTACTGTAAATTTTCTTAAAACATTTTGAGCTAATTTGAAGACTTATTAAGTGAATATTGTATGATGCTCTTTATTCTGAAAATTAGTACTAGTATTTGGTCTTTAAAAACTTATCAATGTTTCATGCTAGTTTAAAGACCCATCTGTATTGAGAAGAGATTTAGGTAAATTAAACAAAGGGTATTCATTTAATGGGAAAATTTGAAAGGACTGATTGAAAGGATTATTTTTTGGTTCTAATACTAGGGTATAGGGAAGAATCAGAGTATAGTTTATATCTAAAGAGTAACTTACTTCAGTTCTCATTCTGAAGACTCATATTATGTAAATATGACAAGCAGCATTTTTTCATGTTATGATGAAAAATGAAATATGAATTTAAATTTTTTATAGTTTTCACCTATGTATATTGTATTTTCTAATAAATAAAATTTTTTCATTCTGTCTTGTCTTTAAAAAAAAAAATTGATATTTGATATATATTAGATTAATATCTGAAATATAATATAATATAGGATTTTGTAATTTAAATGTAAAATTTGTCTAATTAGTTTAATTAAAAAAATACTAAATAATTTTTTTATCATAAAAATATAGGTTCAATTCCTACACTAGGTCTTTTATTTTTATTCTTAATTTTTTTTTATAATTTTATGTGATAATTGAAATAGAATTATGAATTATATAATCTAAATTTATATAATTGAATGGGAATTGCTAAACATCACCTGGGTGATTGTCGCCTGAGTATTCATCATCTGGGCAATCATTGCCTAGATTTTTTTTTTTGAATATATCACATGATTTATAATAGAGCATTCTTATCTTTCAGAATGGAAAAAATAGACCCCTAGAGTCTAGGCAAATTAACCTACCTCCAACTTTTTTTTAAATAAAAAAAAATTTTAAACTCTTAAGCTTTTTTTAACCCAAAAAATTTTACATCTTTATATATGTAACAAAACTTTATTTTTTATTGATTTAAAAGATTACATGTTTACTATTAATTAAATAAAAAAGATATTGTCAAACTCATTTATCAAAAGTCAAGATTTATATTCATTTTTTAATAAAAATATACTAATAAAAATTGGAAACAGCAATAAAAAAACAAAATGTAAAGAGTAACAATAAAAACAAAAAGGTGAATAAAAAGAATAAGGGAAGATGAAAGGGAAACAAAATAAACAACAAAAAATAGAATAAAATGGAGAATTGATAAAAGGAGAATGAAAGAAAGAAATGATAGAAAGGAGACAAAAAAAAGAGCATATAAATGGGAATGAAAAAAAGGAGTGAATAAACGAAAGGAGTGAAGAAAGGGAAGTGAAAGAAAGGAACAAAGAAAGGAGAGTGAAACAAAGAAATGATAAAAGAAAAATGAAATAAGGAACATTCAAAAAAGGAATAAAATGAATGAAAGGGAAAATAAAAAAAAATGAAAGGGAATGAATGAAAAATAATAAAAGAAAAAGGGAGGACAAAAGAAACAAAAGAAGGAAATGGNAATAAAAAAAAGAACAAAAAAATGGAATAAGGATGGAAAATTAGGTTAAAGAAATGGGCAAAAAAATAGGACAAAAAAATGTAATGAAAAAGAACATAAATGAAAGAAATTAAAAAAAATAAAAAGAATAATAGGGGACAAAAGGAAATAATGATAAAAACGGGATGGAAGATGAGACGAAAAGTTATTAAAATAATGAAGAGAAGATAATTAGGAGGAGAAAATGAAGGGATCAACTGACCAAATGAAAAGCAAACTTCCATAAAATAAGAAAGAAATTAAGTTAGTAAGGAATGGAATGTAATTAATAATCAAAAATAAAAAAAACATACCTTAATGCAAAGAAGAAAAAGAAGAGTAAAAGACCTAAAAATAAAAAATGAAATAAAGTTAGTAAAGAATAAGTGTAAAAAATAACATAAAAAAAAAGAAAGAAAAAACATATCTTTATTGCAGGCAGGCGTTGAGCACGTTGAGCAAGTGAGCAAGAAAAATATGAAAATATGAAATGATAAATAAAATAAAAAATCATAATGCATTTTTGTATTATGTGTAATATGTCTTTAATTCACATGACTTCACAATTATGAAACGATGAAAAAATTGAAAAAATTAAAGGTCCAGTACAGGAATCGAACCTGCATTTCTAATATAAAAAAAAATAATCTAGCGTTCTAATCACTGAACTAACTGAGCAAATCTAATAATTATTAATGAATAATAGTTATATTTATATATATTATAAATCATGTGACATATTCAAAAAAAATCCAGGTGATGATCATCCAGGCGATGATTATTCAGGTGACAATTATCCAGACGATGTTTAGCAATTTCCAAAAAATAATGACACTTATATTTATCAATTAATATTTTTGCTAGTATTTTCAATTCTTTTCTAATACTTAATTGAAGTATATGTATTGCACATAGGATTTTTCACCAATTTTCATGTTTTTATATTTAAACTATTATTAATTACTATGATTATAATTTTTGATCTAATTTCCTATTCATTAAATAAATTAACTAAATACTCTTAAATTTTAGTTGCACCATATAAATATGGCTAGAATTACTTGTCTAAACTCTTTTAAAATCCTATGCTTAATTTTGTTAAATTTTTACTATAGTTTTATTATAGTTTTATAAAGTTTTATCTTATAATAGATTTTGACAAATTTTGTCTTTTAACAAGTTTCACTAATTTTTTAATAAGACTTTAATATAGTTTTATCAAATTACTACATTTCATCATTTCACTTATTTGTTAAATCCCCTAGTTTCATTAAGCAATCTTAAATATGACAATTATTCCATACTAAGAAGTAATTCATATAGTTCAAATTTAGATAATATTTAATATATTGTAATATTTAAATAAATATATATACTAATAAACTCTATATATCTAATATTAAAAAAATATTTTTTAATTATAAAAGTTGACTTTTAAGTATATTTATAATTATATACTTATTTCATATGTTGATAAAATTAGATTTTTAAAAGTTTTAGTATAAAGTATCTTGTAATATAAATCAAATTTATTTATTATTTTAATAAAATTTTTGTCTTTTATAATACTCAAAGGTTGTACTATATCAATAACAAATTCAATGATATTTTTAGTTAATGATTCTTATTTAAAATAAGGATATGGTTTAAATATTTTTTTTAATTAAGTTTTTAATAAATTGTTAATTATTTTTTTATAATACTTTCAGATAATTTACTACATTAATATGATATATAGTATACCTGATAAATGTATTTTCATTAAACTTGAAGAATTACATTATGAAAATAGTTTTTAAAGCTTTTAATTTAACAAATAACTTTATTATTATTTTCAGTTTCTTTGAAAAATTTTTATATCTAATTTATTTTAAGTCTTGTATTTTTATTTGAAAGTTTTTTTTTTAAAAAAAACTCCTTTTATTGATATCAATATTTGCAATTTCATTAATTATATCATTATTATTAAATATTGTATGGTCACTAATTTTTTGTTTTAATTGTTTTGATTTAGCAAATAAAATATTTTCATAATTAGAATTATTATTATTATTTTATATTAATTTTTGTTTTTCTGCTTTTTTAGTTATTTGTATATATTTTTTTTGTGTAGTAATAGCTATATTTTTTTTTATAATAATGTAAAAAAAGAAAATAAAATTTATAATAACGTTATTTGTATTAAAATATTTATATTGATTAATATTAATTGATTTTTTAGTGATTTTGATAACTTCAATATGATTTTTTTTACAGTATAATAGATATAAAAATAATTAGATTATTTTTATAATACAAAAATTTTAAAAAATTCATTTATTTAGATTTGATTTTTAGATTCAATTAATTAAATTATATAGATTCAATTCAATTTTTAATTAAATCAATTCTGGTCAAATCAATTTCTTATATTTTTAGTAAGTATTTAAAACAAAAATTAATTAATATACCAAAGGTTATTAAAGAATTATTGCTAGTTTTTTAGATTATCTGCAGATGAGTTCTTTTCAAAAAATTTACATAAAAATAAAAATATAGATAAAATTATATGATATATTTATTTAATAGATATTAATACAATAAATTAAATTCAATTAACTTATCAAAAAAAAAAGTATAAATAAATTAAAAGAGAAAAATAATACCAAATAAATTTTAAAGAAAAGTTTTTCTTCTTTTATTTTATTTTTACTTTCCTATATTCATAAAAATCTAGAGTAAATAAAATTGTAATTTTTCTTATAAAATCTTTTTAGTTTTGATTTTTTCTAATTTCATTTGCCTAATGGTTAAAGTAGAAATGACTATCCTGAAAACTTAGAATAGCCAAATATATTGGTATAAAAATAATCAAGTTATTATTCAAAAAAAAAATAAAAAGTTGTAGGTGTATTTTATAAAAGAATAATTAATATAAATAACAAACTATTAAACTTATATCAGTTATATGTGAAATAAAGACAGAAATATTTTTATTTAAATCTTTAATTCGTAATCCGTGTAAGAAGCAGAGAAAATTACTAATGATTTTCGGGGAATTTAAAACATGTAACACAAACTTTACAATGAAATTTTGCGCCATCTACCCATCCAAATCACATGAATTTTATACCATTGGATAGCTCAGGTCAAGAGCTTTTAAATAAGTATAATTCTAATTATTAGGAGCCGAAATATTTGTGCTTAAAAATTGTATTCTCAAACTTTTTATTATATATAGCAGGAATCTGGCATTCCCGTAAGGTAAAGCATT